CGTTTTGGGGGGGGGGGAGGAGGGGGAGGGGGCCCAAGGCCAGAAGGGGCCTCTGCTCCGGGAAGGGACAGCTCGGATGCTGAGGTGCTGGGAGCCTGGAGCTGATGCTGCTGCAGCTGAGAGGGGGCGCTGTCCAGGGGGTCGCCCCCCTCCTGCAGGTGAGCATCTGGGGGCACCAGGGGCACAGGGCCAGGGGGGAAACTAGAGCTCAGTAACCCCCCTTGCAGGCTGGACTTGGAGGGAGGGCAGAGCTGCCAGTAGCTGCTCTCTGAGGACACACACAGAGGAATGGTCATGTGGCATTCACTGTAGTGATGCCCTCACATAAGCCTCGCTATCAGGCAATAAAGAGCTCTGACTTTAGAAAGTCACTTTCTGCTTTTTCCCGTTTAGGGGTGGCCGCAGCGAATTGTCACACTGATGACTCGCCAGTTGACATTTAGCAGGTGTTTTACGCCGGACGCCCTTCCTGACGCAACCCTGACTCGAACCTGGGCCGCAGCGGCAAGAGCGCTGTGCCTTAACCACTAGCCTACCAGGGACGGCTAGATACTTGATAATGCTATTCAATTCCCCTTTTTCACAACATATTGCTAAGATGCATTATGGGAAGTGTAGGACTGTAATACGTTATGGAAATGGATTTCTGAAGCTAAACAACAAGAAGTGACATCTGCTGTAAAATATCCAGCAACCTGTGCAGACAAAGATGGAAATAACACCCCCCACCCCACTTGATAAGGTAATGATCTTGTCTCAGTTCACTAAAAGATAAAGTCTGCTCCAAAACTGGCAGCCAAGTCGCTAATATAAGTCATGGCTGCACTCCTGTTGTAGATCTCTCCACCTCTGCTTTAATCTGCTTCCATCTTTAAGGAAATGAACTGCTGAAGCAGTGGAGAACTCTTTTCTTTGTTTAGAGCAAGTAATTCATTTATTTGGAACAAAACCTCAATCGCTCACCAGGCATCAAGCCATCAGGGGCCCAGCACTCTCCGAGGGTTTTCGGGTCCAGCAGGGACTGAAAGACGAAGAGAGAAACAGCACTTCTTATGTCATTACTAACACAGTCATCCTATGTGTTGTAAAACATCCCTGGAAGCCTCTTTTTCATACTAGTAAAACTGAACGCCAACGGTAACCGTCTGGGGTCCAGCTCAACACCTTTTAGAATGTCCTTACTCCACATGTATGGTACCATTTTATTTTAGCACAGACTCAGCTCAAAGTGTGACTCCTGACTTTGTCAATTTAACAAACATTTAAGGACACAAACTACAAGACAAATGGCATAGGCAACTAGAAAAATGTCCAGATCTTTAGCGATCATCACTGAAAATATTACTGAACAGTTCAATGCTATAACAAATCAGGTTCACTCTGTATATGCACAACTACAGCAGAAAAAAATAAGAAATCAATCAATAAACACTATTTTAATGTGACTTTATTCTAACTCATTTTTGTGCCTTAGAAGTCATTGAAAACATTCATGATTCAGTCTTAAACATTTCTTGATGTGTGAGAGCTCCACATCTGCACCTTTGACTGGTTTCACAGCTCGTCTCTATGTGACTTATAAATAAAGTCATGGTAATATTATTTAAACATGCTCAGTGATCAGGTCCAGGAGGTTAGACATGCAAAAATCTAACGTGCTAGTTTATCTTTAGTTTATTAAAAACTGTTAGGAAAAGCCCTCTGTTGTTCCTGGTGGAGCAAAGATTAGTGGACAGGAAGTTAACCTGGATGAGCTTATTGTGGTGCACCACCTGGTGATGTCTGGGAAAAGTGCAGCTTCAGTTACTCAGCAGCTATTTTGAGAGTTAACCAGCAAAACACTAGCTGATCCAAAGCTCTTGGATATGAGACTTAGTTAATTTTTGGTCCTACATGACTGTAAAAATAAATATTTTGGGGTTTTAGACTGAGGATTTGGCAAAATAAGAATCAAGTCTATTGTATTCTGACACTACCATGAGTACCATGCATCATTTTATCCCTCAAATATTCAGGAAGGAATCAAGTCTGTGCCGTGTGATAGTCAACAGTGCTCCTGATATTTTGTGTGTGTTTGCTTGCCCATAGATTCTGTGTATAAAGACATCTTGTGGAATTGAGCACACATCTCTCAGTTGGAGTGGGTTAGCTAGAGCGTATTTGAGACTTACAATAGAGTCTGATCAGACAGTTACATTTATGGACTAGAACTAAAACACAAAGGTGAATCATCTGGACCAAATCGACCAAACTACGGGTGTGAAACATGCTTAGTTATGATGCTGAGAAGCTGCACGAACTGATCAGTTTATGCTTAGTTATGATGCTGAGAAGCTGCAAGAACTGATCAGTTTAAACTTCACAGATCTACAGTAAATGTTGTTTCTCATGCAGTAGGAAAAGATTCTCAAAGGTTTCACTTGGCATTCATTAACAAGCACAGCTGTCAAAACTGGTGCGCTGGAGGAGCTGAGGCCCTGGTTCATACTCTCTTCCAGAACCAGACCATGTGTGGACTGAGCATGGCTGAGCTCTGCCCAGAGGGAGCTAAAGCAGGTCAGGCTGCAGGTTGAGGACAGACTCACCAGATAGAAGTCCCCCGGCTGAGCAGGGTCACCTTCCAGAGTCTGCTTCCTCAGGGTCTCCACCAGCAGCGTGACCACAGCATGGTGGCCAAGGGGGGAGGGAGGTGGGGAGGAGACAGGGAGTGGAGGGGGAGAGAACAGGGAGGACAGGGGAGGAGGGGGAGGGAGGGGCGAGCCACGTCCGTCTGTATGTCCTTCTGTTTGGTCCGTTACAGGAGGAGGGGGGGCTGAGGGCTGAGACTCCTCCTCCCGACTGCCTCAGGGCCAGGTAGCCCCGCCCATACTCACAAAGACATGGTCAGGCAGATGTTGCCCCCGGCAACACACCTGGGCAGGAGGAAGACAGATGAGAACTTGTTCAATATACAGGGTTTCTGCACAGAACAAAATGCAGACACATACGAGAACAGAAATAAAGGTGATTATTATTATCAATATTATTATTATTAGACTGGAGACGATCGACTGGACACAAAATGTACAAAGGTTCATAGGACACACAATGAGTACGAAAGGCAAAGAAACACAAATGTTCAGATCAGAATGGCCACAAAAGAACCACAACGACAAAGAACGGGTACAAAAGGATGCACAAGTAGAATAAGATACAAAACCATTGCAAAGAGACACCAAAAGCCACAAAGGGAAGACAGAGAAAGAGCACAAATGGACACACAAAGTACAACCCTGGGTCTCTACCCGTTACACCCATACAGGGATCCATCCATGTGCAGGACCAAGAAAAACAACTCATTCTCACATTTGACAAACTGGTAAATGTTTTGCTTTTATCTTGAAAAATACCTCAGGATCAAAATAGATGTCAATCTTCTATTGATCAATTCACTGACTAGCTGTTGCTGCTGTGTTGATGGAGCCATGAGGATTTTGGCTCCTGTACAGATGAGGTCAGAAACCGAAGCGTTTCTGGGATAAAACACCTACACCTACACCCGTTGGGAAGCTTAATATACAGCAATTGATAATTTTTTATAAGATTTCCATAGGTTTATATCAACTCTGCTTTCAGGTCAAAGTATTTTACAATGAATCCAATGTTTTTAAAATTGGTTTGCTTAGCTGAAGAAACAGCTCTGCCTGTAAAGCCGTAAAGTCTATTAGAAAAACCAGAATTTACCATAACCAAATCTGGACATAGCATACTAGGTTTTCACTGGACAGCAAGACTATGAAATGTTGTAACAATTAATCCTCTATTAATCAATTAACAGACTAATCAGTTGGCTCTGAGGATTTGGGCTCCTGGTATAAATTTTATTCAGGAGCCAGAAACAACAGTTTCTGGGATAAAACCATCCTTATTGTGATGTAATGAGGTCCAGTCAAACACGTGGTAACTTGTTGTTAAATAATGCCCTCTGTGTGCTGAGGACAGGCGCTGGGAACGCTACACTCCAGTTCGGCAGGAGGCGGGACAACAACTTAAAACGGATTGTACCCCGCCCTTTTTTTTTCGCCTGCAGCGGAGGCCCCTGTGCAGCCGGTCTTGCGTTGAACTATGTTTCTCCGTCAGGATGCGTTTCCCCTGTTAAATCTGTTTTTTTAGTATTATCCCCCTCCGCGGTTGTGGTTGGGGGGGAAACACATGTTGACGGAGGAATAGATCTCGACACAACACCGGGCTCATGTAGGCCGCTCGGTACCTCCGGCTGTTGCTAGCTTCTGGCTAACAGATCCCATTGTTTTCAATGAGGAATGCTAACATGCCTAGATAGCGATTTTCCAGTTTGGGTGCAGAATAAATGCAGGGATGTCATTTTGCACAATTAACCTAAACCTGGAGTATAAAATTAAAATACTTAAGCTTTTGCGTTTTTATTAAAGCTGCCAGTTATATAACCGAGCTAGCTAACATCACCTGAACAGTTAGCTAGCTTGCTATAAATAATATGCCATCTTCCTATTACTTTCAAGGTCGACACAATAAAATCAACCATTTTTACTCGTCGAAACAAGAGGGCTAACTGAGCATTGTTTCTCCTCCACAGCCCCACAGACTTCGGTGGCTCGAGCTGGTCTGCTTGGTAGTTGGGGGTACAACGGCCGCCTGGCTGCCTCCAGGGGCAGCAGTAGGAAGCGAACGGACCTGCTAGCGATGTTAGCCGCGGTTGCTAACCGACCTGCTAGCAGCGTCAGTCGCTGTAGCTACCGGACTTGCTAGCAGAATTACCCGCGGTGATTTCACCAAGAAACACCAGAATATCACACGGGATGTTCACAGTTACCGTCTCTCCTCCACGCTTCTGCTGAGAGAAGTAATTTCGGGCTAGACATGAATTCTATACAGGCTAATTCACAGCCAGGATCAGTGCTAGCTAATAATAATGATGATAACGTGTGGCCGGCCTGCGTTCTGAGCAGCATGTAAGGAATAAAACACGTCAGGAATGCTGCGGGTGGTCAGCCCGGAGTAGCTAGCAGCTGACACGGACATAGAAACAGCATATAAGCGGACATTTTACTTATGCCTAACCAGGTGGCGTGCTTACCTTGTGGGACAGCTCCTCCGGGTGATGGGGTGCAGCGGTGCTCGGTGTATTGACCCAGTATTATTAAGCAGAGCAGCCTGTCACCAGCAGATCCACCACCATGAATTAAAGTCCGGGCTTAACCGAACTGACCGGGCGCTGCACGGTCCGGGACAAACCCGAACATCGGCTATAATCAGTGTCTGCTATCTTGTAATTATTAAAACATAATGATGATGATAAGGAATTGCGTGCACACGCCCGTGAGCGGCAGGCATTCATAAATAAGATTTACGGTGCAGACGGAGGAGGAGGGGCGCTGCTGCGCCTCATCAGCACCAGCACCAGCACCTGCACCTGCCTTTATTCACATTTATATTATGTTTCTCACAGCCAGGGGCAGATCTAAGAAATTCTGCGTGGGTGGCCAGGCTGGGACACAGACCCAGAGAGGGGTGGCACATTTGAAATACATGTAAAAAGTTATTTAGACCCCTATTTCAATGAAATAATAAATACATTATGAAGAATCTAACTTTTTGTGTAAAAATGAGAACCATGTAGTGATTTCTTTACCTAACACTGGCTGTGTCCCTTGTTTACTCTGAGCTGGGGGGGGGGGGGTGTTTGGTTTTTCCCC